TACACTGGCATAAATAAACCTACTGTGCTGCCTCTCAAGTAAAAATACAGCCACACAATGACATGCAGTACCTGATACCTGACAATGATCATAACGGTTATGCTACTGCCTTATGTATTTTCTGTGCTATACTTTTTAGCATTATTTTACTCTACTTTTTTAAAAAAAAAGTTACTGTAAAACAGTATGCCCTGTTACCCAGGCAGCAGCCTCACACATCCACGTATTCTATTCCTTGATTGCAGTAAGAGGCCACATGGCATGACTGACCTGTATAGTTTAGTTTTCTGCAAGTGCCCGCTGCAGTGTTTAGCTGACAATGACATCGCTGGTCCCCCATTCAGATTTCTCGCAGTAGCTGATAGGTTTGATTACATATCTTCTTCCTTACTGTATACTTTACTACATTATATCTATTGTTGTCCGTGGTTTTCTTCTTTTCAGATTTCTTCCAGATTAATCAGGACATTAGTTTTAACTAATTCTCTCTTCACTTCTTCCTCTCAAGCAATACAAAATTTTTATTTCATATTTAAAGATCAAAGTCTCTATGAATGTATGTAAATTCAGGGTCACTTGGATTCCCTGAAGCTTTTTTTTTTTATTGTATTCAAAAGGCAGAGTTACAGACAGAGAGATAGAGTGAGAGATCTTCCATCTGCTGGTCCACAAATGGCCACAACAACAGAGCTGAGCCAATCCAAAGCTAGGAGCCAGGAGCTTCTTCCAGGTCTCCCATATGGATACAGGGGCCCAGGCATTTGTGCCATCCTCCACTGCTTTCCCAGGTCATTAACAAGGAGCTAGATCAGAAGTGGAGCAGCTGGGACTTGAATTGGTGCCCATTTAGGATGCCAGGGCTGCAGGCAGAGGCCTAACCTACTAGCCATAGTTCCAGCCACCTGCCTGAAGCTTAAACACCATCACTCCCACTCTCTCCCTACCTTGGGAGACAGAATGTGTTTGGGATCTCATATATTTTCCCATTCTTATCCTTTATATTTTGTTAATTCAATTAATAATTTATATGAGGGTTCAAAAAGTTCATGGAAAAGAAAGTTTAAAGATAAGTTTATTTTGGTGCAAAAATTTGTGTAGTGCAGTTTTTAAAAACAATATGCATTTCCCATAAACTTTTGGATACCCCTCATTTAGGGAGTTTATAATTTTTTTGAAAACAACTCTAAAATTGGGGAAATTAAAATAGCACAGAGAATATCTGCAATTACCTTCACTCTGATTTGTCAATTATTATTAACATTTTACCCCATTAACTCTTATTGGCTTTCTTTTTTTTCTTTTTTAATTTAACAGATGTATACCAATTGCACATATTTGTGGGGTACTTTGTGATATTTTGCTAAATATATATAATGTATAAAAGTCCAATCTGGGCAAATCTATTTATCCTTTCAAGCATTTAACGTTTCTTTACTGTGAAATCATAAAAAAAAACTATCCTCTAGTTCTTTTTACAGAAATACACAGTAAATTAGTATTATCTATCTTTATCCTGCTGTGCAATAGAACCCCAAAACTTTACTCCTGTTTGGGTATAACCTAGTACCCCTCCCACCCTCTCTTTTTCTCTCTCTCTCTCCTTTTCTCTCTCCCTCTCTCATCTGTACCATCTGAGGATAAATTACATGTGTGTAATTGTCCTATCCCTTAACACTTCAGTGTGAACTTCCTAGGAAGAGTGACATTCTCTTACATAGTCACAGTGTGGTCATCAGTTTCCTAAGTCTATACTGGTAGAGTATTTTAATCTGTGATCCATATTAATATTTTGTCCTTGGCTTACTGATGTCTTCTCATGTTCCCAAGTTCTCCTGCCTTAGTTGTATGTTTCCAGCCTTCTGTAATCAGGAACCATACACAGCCTTTCTTTCTCTTTAAGATTTATTTTATTTATTTGAAAGAGTTACAGAGATAGGTAGAGACAGAGAGAGATATCTTCCATGCACTGGTTCACTCCCCAGTTGGCTGCAACGGCTGGAGCTGGGCCAATGTGAAGCCAGGAGCTTCTTCTGGGTCTCCCACATGGGTGCAGGGGCCCAAGGACTTGGGCCATCTTTTACTGATTTCCCAGGCCACAGCAGAGAGCTGGATCAGAAGAGGAGCAGCCAGGACTTAGAACTGGTGCCTCAGCGGGCGCCGTGGCTCAATAGGCTAATCTCTGCCTTGTGGCACCAGCACACCGGGTTCTAGTCCCGGTCAGGGTGCCAGATTCTGTCCCGGTTGCCCCTCTTCCAGGATGGAAGGAGGATGGCCCAAGTGCTTGGGCCCTGCACCCGCATGGGAGACCAGAAGCACCTGGCTCCTGGCTTCGGATCAGCACAATGCAGCCATTGGAGGGTGAACCAACGGCAAAAGGAAGACCTTTCTCTCTGTCTCTCTCTCTCTCTCACTGTCCACTCTGCCTGTCAAAAATAAATAAATAAAAAAAAAAGAACTGGTGCCTCTATGGGATGCCAGTGCTTCAGGCCAGGGCTTTAACCCACTGTGCCACAGCGCCGGCCCCACACAGCCTTTCTTAATCTGCTAGCACATACACATTCTTTGACAGCTCCCCTGCCATCTTTACAGTTGGATGTTGTTTGATTCTGTGTGATTCAGCACAGGCCTTCTCACTCAAGCTCATCAAGGAGTGTTTTCCTCAGGGTATCCCACTGGAGGTGCTGGGGAAATCTCTGTCCTCCCCTGGGAATGTTAATGTTGATCATCTGATTTCTCTAGCATGATGGTTCTATTTTTTTCCCTTGCAATGGGTAAGCAATCTGTAGTGGTTTATCTTGTTAACATGCACGTATATGCCAAATTTTCTCCCAGATTTACACACTGATGCGTCTTGTTTGACATAATCATTACTAATGATGTTTGCAAAATAGTGGTTTCCCATCTCCATCGTTCCCAAGAGATTTGTCAGTCATCTCTTGCCATTCAACCAGAAGCAAGAACCTGCTGCCTTCTAACTCTCTCTCTCTCTCTCTCTCTCTCTCTCTCTCTCTCTCTCTCTCTCCCCTAAACAGTGGCTTTGGACTGGTGTCCTCTAAGCTCTTCCGGCGCTGTCAGGTGGTGGCCCTGTGGGCATCCTGCTAGCTCTGGTTGAGTTGTTCCATCAAGTTCAAGGTCACAGTGCCTGTGCTGTGGCTCGCTGAAGCGCCTCCTACAGACTGCAGTGACAATGACCTTCTTCAGGCCTTTTGAGGGGGTTGCTTTGCATTGCCGGTCTGTGGCTCACCAAACAGAGGGCTGACGTCTCCAGAGCTGCTCCCCTAAACTCAGGGTCAGTGATGCCCTCACTATGCCTGAGTGCCCCTGGAAGCCGGGAGCCCCGCAGTCATGGTGCTGCCCTGGCTGTGGAGTCACCAAGCCCTTGCTTTCCAAAGCGGCGGGGGACTCTCAAAGAAGGCCTGGAAGCCTTAGGTCTCTGATGGACACAGACCCTCCGCTCCCGCCCACACCTGGGAGTGCAGAATCTGCCTTCTAAGATATGCAGGGAGTACATCCAGGGTCGCTGATCACCCTTCCTCATCCCTGAGTGTGACAAGGGCCGGGTCTCGGGATGGCTGCACCTTGGCTGAGTGTGCTCCGTCGCGGCAGGGGCCTCAGGGTCCAGCCACTCCTCCCCGCTAAGGAGCTGAGGAGCTGTCCAGAGCAGCCAGAGCCCCTTGCCCTGCACGTCTTCACCGAGAGCCTGAGACACCAATGATCCCTAACCCCTACCCCATGTCCGCACCCCGGCAGGGAACAAAGCGCGTCCCTGGGCTCCACGCAGCCCGCGCTTTGCTCGGGAGAGCACAGCTCCATCCTGGGCTCCGGCACGGAGCGCGGGGTCCCTGGTGCCTTGTCCCCTTGTCCCCTCCCGGGCCGTGTGCGCGAGCAGCGTCGGGGACTCCCGCGCAGGCGGGCAGAGCAGCGCTGCAGAGAGGCCACACACCTCGCTCTGCAAGGCGCAGGGGGCGCGGGCTACCAGGTGCTGTGGAGCCGGTAGGCGGAGAACTTGGGGTCCCTGGCGGCCAGCCCACACGCATTCTGCCCTCCCGCGTTCCGGAAGATGTAGGAGGGTGAGGCTGGCGGTCCTGTAGGGGACGCCCTGGATGCTGGGAGGAGTCGGTGCTCCAGCCCCTCTTCTTGCTGCTTTCCCAGCCTGCAGTTGTGCTCGGTGTTTTTCACTCCCTGGGTGTTCGGCAGGTGGAAAGGGAGCTCCTCCACACCCCAGTGCCCAGCAGCCATAGCTGGGTCGATGGGAAGCCAGAAGCCAGGAGCTTCATCCGGGTCTTCCACATGACTGCAGAGGCCCAAACAGTTGGGCCATCCTCCATTGCTTTCTCAAGCGCATTAGCAGCGAGATGGACCGGAAGTGGAGCAGCTGGGACTCCAACCCAGTCCACATGGGATGCGGACACTGCAGGCACCGTGTTAACTTGCTCCATGACAGCACTGCCCACCCCCTCGCCCCCAACTCTGTCACAGTTAAAGCTCCGGCAGGTCACTTACTTCCAACTCAGTTCCCATCTCTGAGACTGGGCTTGGGATTTAAAGATCAAACACGTCCAAAATAATGTGATTAATAGCTTTTTGTCATGTTTAGAATTTGTTTCTACCTCTACAAGTGGAAGTTATGGAACCAAACTTCCCTTGCACATGAAACACAGGTTCTGCAGCTACAATTTGATGAGAGGTACAAGGTCAAGTGCCCTGCTGGAGCCGTATTTGCTGGATCTCTTGCTGTTCTTGGGACCTGGCCCCTACAATGGCAGGGTGTTTTTAATATGCGTGGAAGACAGTAAAGTCACATGCTCTCTCACAGAAGACATAAGCCCCTTGCTTTTCTGGAGCGTAAACCTAAAACTGGATTATCTTTAAATGTATAACTAAAACCTGTATAGCTTGGTAGAAAATAATGTGCTTATTGGGTCATCAAACTCTAAATTGTACCCTCAGCGTGGGTCACTATTTTGGTAACAGCTTACAAGAACTTGACTCTTCCTTAGGGCTGCAAAGTCTGAGTCTCCTGAAAAGTGAGACCCCACATTCTTGGAAGAAGTCCTGGAGCAATGGGGGTTCCAGTGGCCTATGGGCTCTGCTGTTGGCTGCAGACGAGGCTGCTCTTGTGTGACAGCAGGACATGGGGAGCCCTTCTCTGTGTTGAAAGAACCACCTATAAATAAAGAAAATGTTCGTCTTGGCAGTGAACTGGGAGATACCAGGTGAGCCTTCTTCCATCAGCTCATTAGAGATCCAGTTCAGCTGACCCTTCTCGGCATGTTTTTAGGATAAAATCTTGGGCATCCTAGTGTTTGCAATTGGCAATGTCCAAGCCCAACAGACCTTCTCCCTAACTTGTTCACATTCCGGGAATACTTTAAAAAACAAGTAAAAACCCAGACACAGCTTTTTCATAATATTCCTTTCCCATGAGCTTTTTGAAGACCACCATGTATGCATGGATTTCAAAATTTCTTGGCCCCAAAATAAACTTATCTCCTAATTCCATTTCCCACTAATACTTTGACGTACCCTTGCATGAGAAGCTGACACATTTCTCAAAGTTGCTAAGTGACACCAGTTTCTGAGCAGTACTCAAAGAAGTGTGCAGCCCAGAGCCACTTTGGTAATTACTCAGCATGTTAGCATGTTCAACACTCTTGGTCTGGCAGGAAAGCAGTCCATTTCATCTGCTCCAAACCACTTTCTCAAACTGATTTCACAACCCCCCCCTTTTTTTGTGGAATACATATTGAGAATGGTAATTAAGCAGCCTGTCCATGAAGAAATATTTTACAGATGTTAAAGAGTTAAGTTACATCTCTTTCCAGCTGTCACTTTTCAAATGAAAGAAAAGACCAGGAGTAATGATCAATCTTTGCCCACAGTAACATTGGTTAATATCTAGCTGGTCAACATTAAGATTATCGAATTCTCTTGGGCTTCTACTACATTCACAGTCTTTCTCAATTCACTTGTGTCTAGCTATCTCTTACCTGTATTTTGATTATGTTCTCATTGACTCCAATTACCTGGTTTCCCTCAATTGAGAAAAAATCCCATTTTGGGAATTAACTGAAAGCCTCATAACAAATCACAGTTGACTTGAGTGCTGTCCATTCTAGATCATTTGCTTCGCTAATGATCTAGACAATTAAAATAGGGTACAGGGACCCATTTGGGTTTGCAGTTAAGCTACCTGTTAGGATGCACATGTCCCATACTGGACTATCTGGGTCTGATTCCTGGTTTAGGCTCCTGATTCAGCTTCCTGCTAATATGGATCGTGAGAGGCAACAACAAAGTCTCAAGTTATTGGGTTCCTGCCACCCACATGAGAGACCTGAACTGAGTTCTGGCTCCTTGTACTAAGAGCTGCCAGCTGTTGTGGGCATGTGAGGATTGACCAGTGGATGGGATGTGTGTGTGTGTGTGTGTATGTGTGCACGTGTGTGTCTACCTCTCAGTTTTTAAATAGACCATAATTCCTACAGTAATAGCCATAGAGAACAAATCAGCCCTTTCTAATAGCCCCTCAATCTCAGCTTCTACTTCCAAGACCAACTCTCTTGACTTTGCCTCTTTGTGTTCTAGAACAGTATGGCATCACCAAGAAATCCCACCTGCATTAAAGAAAGTCACCAAGAGGAAGAGCATGTGCTGAGCAGTGAGATGTTGTTGGTGAGTCCTGGGATGAACAGAGATGCTGAGGAAGTCTGGGACATCTGTCTCTGAGGAAAATGGTTGTGGGACCTAGTGGAAGAATGTCCCTTGGGAAAAATCCTAGCCAGGTGACAGTATTCAATGATAACTTCTTGCTGTTGGTGAAGCTGCTACTATGTGTATCAAACTCTTTTTGGAACTCTTTTGTCTTTAGCTTTGATTTTTACCTTCAGCTTTTGATTTTAATAATTAAGGGCTGAATGATGTGAAATATGCATGAAATAGTCATCAAGGCATGAGTTTTTGCTGGACTTCCACAAGGAGCTCAGCCCTATGGTGGGCTGCTGTTGTAGGAGATGTTGGGAGTTTCTCTTAAGACTTATCTCCCTCTGTGAAGTCAGCTAACTTCTGAGTGGCTCAGTCATCTCACTCAGTGTGTGTTCTCTAACTTCAATTCTCTTTTCCCACAGGACTTGTTAACCTCTTTACAAGTGGACTGAACTTAGTAAAAAGAAGCTGAAACATTTGTATCAGAATTGCTTGTATCTTTCATTGTGTGCTGTTTTAACTTCATTGCAGTGTGCAGCAAGTGGCAATTGCTTAGTGAAATGACTGATATTTAAATTGGAGGAAGTCCTCCAGTTTTTTAGTGGGATATCTGGGGATGTTTCAGTTCGGTCTCCATGCAATCTCAGCTTTCAAATCTCTGGGCACCTGGCCTGGTGCTAGTCAGTTCTAGATTGGAATCTTGCCTCTGACACCAATTTTGAGCTAGCTAATCACTTGGAACTTGCCTTTCCATTATACAAGGGGAATGATCTCTTTACCTTTTAGGATAAATGTCAAGTTTCTGCAGCACAGTGACTGTGTGTTAGTTCCTTGCCACTCCCTAGCCCAGATAAACTTCCCTGCAAAGTTAGTGTCCACTTTTGCTTAAAATTCATAAATAATGCTTTCCTTATGCTCTCATTTTCTTTTCAAGTGAAGAGGTCAGGTGAACACACTTCATAGATACAGAAGCTCAGAAAAATGATTTGTCTAAGGCTTGTTTAAAATAAAGTAGGTGGCTACTGTAGTTGGTGACATGGAGTATAGCTGCAGACCAGGATTCATTTTCACTAGCTCTTGCCTAAGGAGGAGCCTACAGATGCTTAGGCTGCTATGAAGTCCTTTTGCTTCCCAGGTTACTGCTTTAGTCACACCCATAGAAGGAATCCAGTCCATGGAACCTGTGATGGGAGCAAGAGTATGGTTTTGCAACCTTGGGAAAATCATTCTGAATCTATTTATCTGTCTAAAATTGGAACCACCTCATCATGCCAATGGAGCAGTGAATGAAAACATGAAAATGATTGTGTACTGCCTAGCATGGTTCCTGAATCCAATAACATGAGTCCAAACAACAATAAGTTCAACTTCATTTGGAAAAATATTTGATTTTGGTTCAGATATTTTCTAGGCTATTCATATCTGTGTCTTGTGGACTGCATTCAAATAGGCTGCCAAGCATAATGAGAAGTGGTAGGCTTATTACTTGGATAATAATTAAAAAAAACAAGCTGTGCTTTTCCATCAGTTAAAACATTCCCAAATCAAGATAACCTTGACCTGAAGAACCAGTGTGAGGGGAGCATGTGTCCTGAGGAGGCAGAGTGAGGACTCTTTAACTGGGAGACAGAGCAGGCATAAGAAGATACCCCAGGGTCTCAGCACCACAGAACCCTACCCTCCTCTCCTGCACAGAAAGTATTAGGTTTCTCTTACTACTCTCTCCCAACTTTGCCATTGCAAATCTCCCTTTGCTGATACACAAAATGCATAAAAGTGTCCAAAAACCAAGCTCAAATGCTTGCATAAGTGATGTCCAACCATATTCCACCTTCTCTGGATAGCCTGTCTTGGTCTCTTTAGACCTTCAGCCTTCCACCAGATTTCCAGGCTTGTGTCCAGACTAGCTCAGTGGACATCCACAGGCCCCATTGGGAATGTTCCTCTCAGTCCCATCTTTCTACTCTGAAGGCCCTATTTCTAGCTTGAGCCCCAGAAATACTTGCCACTTCCTGAAGGATTTTGGATCCAAAAGACTTCCATAGCCTAGGCAGCTTATGTTGAGAGCCTTGGGGGATAACTGACATCATACGTAAGAGTGTTAACTGTTAAACTAGCAACAAGAGTCATGGCACTAACTTCCCATGCAGGACCTCTGTCCTCAAAGAGAATGGGACCAGGAATGGGAGAGGGAAGGGAAGGAGGGGTGGGAGAGTATGTGGGAGTGTGGGTGTGGGGGGAAGAATCATTGTGTTCCTAAGGTTGTGCTTGTGAAATGCATGAGGTTTGTATTCCTTGGCTAAAAGGTTTCTTGGGAGAAAGATAAAAATAATAATAAATAAATAAAGCAACACAGTCAGAGAAAAAAATTCCAATCGTTAGCATCATGGTCACATCACCAGTCAATGCTCTGTCACATGAGGGAGGAAGCCAGAGACCAGGAATAGAGTGAGTGCCACACTTTCTCACAACAGCCGTTCTTTCCTTGAACAAACTTGAAAAGTCTCTGCTGTCCTACTCCTACTTTTGTCTCTCCAAGCTATAATTACTTGCTCCCACAATGAAGAAGGATCAAGGGGTAAGCTGGGCACCACCAGTGACACACCCACCTTTGGTCTCCTGTGAAAGTATTCCCAAGTATTAGCTGCCTGGAATCTAATTCAACACACCCAAGTGTTCCCCACTGGAGAATTTACCAGACACATCACAACATCGTGTTCACTGGAAAGACTTCATTTTATAAACAGAGACTCAAGATTTTATATCTAACAATCCCTAACCATCCTTACCTCCTCAACTGGCTTTTTATGGCCATTTCATAACTTATCCCTATTTGTAGAAACTGCATGTAATCAACTGCTCCTCTAAGAACCTTGTATTGTGCTCGTCTTAATTTCTTAATCTGATAGATGTAATGGGAAGCCTAAGGCAGATTTAAATCTGAATTTTCTTCTAGGAATTTAACTTGTATGATATAGGTTTGGGTTTTCTTCTGGAGAACAGGAATCTTTAGAAAAGTTACTTGGGGGGCCGGCACTGTGGCACAGTGGATTAACGCCCTGGCCTGAAGCACCAGCATCCCATATGGGTACTGGTTCTAGTCCTGGCTGCTCCACTTCCAATCCAGCTCTCTGCTATGGCCAGGGAAAGCACTGGAAGATGGCCCACGTCCTTGGGCTCCTACACCTACATGAGAGACCTGGAAGAAGCTCCCGGCTCCTGGTTTCAGGTTGGCACAGCTTCAGCCATTGTGGCCAGTTGGGGAGTGAACCAGCAGATGAAAGACCTCTCTCTCTCTCTGCCTTTCCTTTCTCTGTGTAGCTCTGACTTTCAAATAAATAAATAAATCTTTAAAAAATAAAGAAGTTACTTGGTTCATGAATCAAGCCCAAAAGGCCCCACGCTTGGGCCTGAAGTGTGTATTGCTAGCAATTATGAGTTAAATGAAACACTTTATATTCATTCCCTATAGGGAACAAATGATGATGGGAGCTCTGTGTAGGAAGTTCTGACCATTTGAACTTCTCAGAGGCTATGGAATTCAGAGAAAGGGAGAACTTGAATGGGGAACTTGATCTTCTCCAACCAATAATTAGAACCACACGTCAACCAGCCTCCCAGGTCTCCACCGTTCAAATTCCATATGTTTCCTCTCAGTCTCTTCTGATTCTTAATTTTTACCCTCATTATATTAAAGTTGGAGAGGAAGGACCTCTGTTAGATATAATTCCATCTTCCTGCTTTTACAGATGGGGAGAGAAGTCCAGCAGGCACGGGGCTTGTGCTATCAGGAGGCATCTATCACACAGTTCAAGCAAACTTGGCAACTCCGTGGAATCCACTGAACGCAAGGCCTTCATGCTAGTGGGGAAGGAAGGTGGCAGGAGCATTTGCCACTCAAAAGGCAAAGGTGCTCAGGACCTGTGAAATGCATGCACCTACCCTCCTGGACTCTCCACCTATGGGTCACACTGGCCAGCAGGTGGAGCTGCTGGTTCACCTCCTTGTCAGAGTCCGTGTAACCTGGGAAGGCCAGCTGGACAGGAGTTAGAATCCTGTTTGAGTCAGGTCTTGAGCCATTCTCTCCACATGTTATGATCAAGCACCCAGTCTTCTAGTCGGCACTGTCCCCGGCTAAGCTTTGTCTATATATGCTTTGACCTGTGCAGAGCAACCCTTACTTGCGCATGCTCAGACTTGCTTAATGGAGACTCCCTGGCAGAAGTCTTGTGTCATGCAGAGAGTGATAGGGGAGTGTGGGTGCAGTTTGTTGGGAAAGATTGCGTGAGTCTCAAACGAGGTTTTATTTGAAGGCATAATTGAACCCTTTATTTTCTTCCCTCTCCATTCAAGGAGAAATATCCCATTTGTAGAAACACCTCATTTGGGTGTCAGAGCCTCGGGCTAGGTCGCTCTCCGTAAGTACAAGGTAAAGGAGCACTTAGGCACAGAACACTTCTACAAGTCACTTATTCAGTTGTTAACAGGCACTGAAGAAGGATTAGGACTACAAGACAAACAGAAACCCATTCTAGGACTACAAGACAAACAGAAACCATTCCTGCCTTCACCTTCAATGTAGAGGATCATGAGGAAGCAAGGTAAGTGGGAAGTCACATGTAACTGACATGCTGAAATACAAGTGTCACTCACGTTCATGGGAAATGGAGCTGAAAGCTACATTTATTTTAGTGGAAAAAAATCAAAATCCATGCATATGTTTTTGCATTTTTCATGAACATTTTAGAAACAGCTAGTATGGCACCCCTGAGTTACTAGGGGGTGGGGATATGTTAGGATGTGCTTGTATGAAAGAAGGAAATGGAAATGAAAACTTGACCTTGACCAAATCATGAAATGAATTTGAGCATCACCTGTATAACATCAGGAAGATCCTGAATGACAGACCTGCATTTCGGGTGAGAGTTTGAGACTTCCTGTCCCTAACCTGCACCCACTCTCCTCTCTCCCTCCCTTACACACAGTGAAACAATCTCCTCCAGTAATTCTCCATTAATCCCCGGGGTGGGTTTGGGGGGAGACAAGGCTCAGAGGTTCTGATTTCTTTTCTGCCTTGCTGTATTGTGGGGCAGGGGCTACACTAACAGAATGCAAGGATTCCCATCAGCTAGTCACACATCCAGTTGTTTATAGCTGATTCTGGAAACATGCTATAAAACAGATTGACTTTGCTCCAGACTGTGGGCCCTTCTATAAGAAGCTGTTAGCCTGATAAAGGGTAGATAACACACTTTACTCAATTCCACATGAGCTTCTTCCTGTCCTCCCTGTCCTCTTCTGGGATGAATTGGAAGCAAAACATGTTTGAATCATGCACCTGCTTTCACTAATCTTTCTTTAGAGGGAACTTGGAGTTTGCTGTTCCTGCCACCTGCAATGCTCCCCTCCCTTCTTTCACTTCTCTGCCCATGGGTCACCTCTTTTCTTACCACTTTTCTTAAAATGCCACTGCTTTTCCTCCACCCCTTCATCTTGGCTTGTTCTTGTGCATTCTCACACAAGAGTAGCAGGGCCCCAAGTGGTTTTGTTTTCCACAGTGTCCACAAATGTCCTGGCAAAATGTCATGTGTCCCCCAATGTACAGGCATAATCATCTGCCCAGTGAAGGGGGGGTGGGGCAGTTGCTTTGGTATTCTGACAGCTCCTCCCACAGCCTCAGGGTGGACAAGCAGTCAGTGTTCTAAATCTGCTACCCTCCCTAGTGAGGGAGGGAGGGAAGAAGGAAGGGAGGGAGGAAGGGTATGGGTCTGGTTGAGGGCTAGACTGTACAACAGGTGGAGCAGGAGCATCATGAAAGCAGTTTCTGCTCCTCTGTCCCCAATGCCTTGGTGCTCTGGGCAGAACTTGAGTCACCTTGCAGAGACTTCAGTCGTAAGTGGGGACACACACTTTCAATGCTCATAGGAAGATAGGAATGGGTAGTGATGGCACATTATGGGTACAGAGGACTTGAGGCAAACAGAAGTTTGACTGCAAGCTGGTGGGCTTACCATGGTGTGGCTGCGTGGCTGGTCAGTCTTGAGTGTGGGGTGTAATCTCACCCACAGCAGCAACCCCTGAGACCCGGCCTCCTTCATCCTCTTGCACAGACACAGGGAGACAGATAGATCTTCCATCTGCTGCTTCACTCTCCAAGTGGCCACAAAGACCAGGGCTGGTCCAAGCTGAGGCCAGGAGCCTGGAACTCCATCTGGGTCTTCCACATGAGCACAGGGGCCATCTTCTGCTCTTTTCCAGGTGCATCAACAGGGAGCTGGGTCAGAAGCAGAGCAGCCGGGACTCAAACTGAAGCTCATACAGGATGCTGGCATGGCAGTTGGCAGCTTAACCCCTGGACCACAAAGTTAGCCACAAAGCTGATATTTTTTTAAGATATATTTATTTATTTGAAAGGAAGAGTTACAGAGAGGCAGAGGCAGAGAGCGAGAAAGAAAAAGAGAGAGAGAGAGAGAGAGAGAGAGAGAGTTTTCCATCCACCAGTTCACTCCCCAAATAGCTGCAATGGCCAGAGCTGGACCAATCCAAAGCCAGGGGCCAGAAGCTTCTTCCAGGTCTCCCACATGGGTGCAGGGGCCCAAGGATTTGGGCCATCTTCTACTGCTATCCCAGGCCATAGCAGAAAGCTGGATTGGAAGAGGAGTGGCCGGGACTAAAATCAGCACCCATATGGGATGCCGGAGCTTCAGGCCAGGGCTTTAACACGTTGCGCCACAGTGCTGGCCCTTTCCAGATTCTTTACTGAGTGAAACTATTCAAAAATATGAGGTTACTAAGGGCAAGCTTTATGGCACAGCAGATTAAGTGGCTGCCTGGGATGCTTTCACCAACCTGCCTGCTTCTGCCACTGCTACCGCTACTGCTGCTCAGGGAAGCATGAGATGACGGTTCAAGTACTTGGTCCCCTGATCTCTGCAAGGGAGACCTAAATTGTATCCTGTGCTCCTGGCTTTGGCCGGGCCCTACCTGACTGCTATGTGCATTTGAGGAGTGAATCAATTTACGGAAGATCTGTCTGTCTGCCTTCCAAATGAAAATACATAAAAATTAAAACATGATGTGAATAAAGAAAATTTCCAGACAAAAGTACTAACATAATTAGTCATCAGCAGACCTACACCATTGAATACTGTAGGAAGTCTACAAGCTGAAAAAAATGTTGGAAGATTCTTTATTGG